TGGGGGGGGGAAGAGAAGAGAGGGGGTTCAGTTGCACGCCGCCCACCCTCCCGTCGCTCCAGGCCTGGGTGAACGGAGGTGTTCGGCCACGTGCCACCCGCCCTCCCGGGCTGCGGCTGCCCTCTTGGTGCTCTGGGGCCGGGGCCATGCCGCCCACCCTCCCCATGCTCTGGGCGCAGAGCGTCGGGTGGTAGGGACAGGACTGGGGACTAGCCCCTCCCCAGCTTGTTCCCTGCATCACCCATGTCTGGTTCCCTGGACCATTTCAGAAAGCTTCCAACCAAGTCTCAGGAGGGGACTAGAGGACAGTGCTCCAGGCCTAAAAACATAAGAGGAGATGTAGATTTAAAGACGTACATACCAAAAATGCCAGTGTCAGATATTGTAAAATAAAGCTCTCACAACTATATAACAGGGTTCTCTTCCATAGCTGGGACAACCATGCCACAGGGATGCGTTTTGGTTTTTTTAAATAGGGCAACACAGGACAACTTTCCCAGCATTATACCCACAGGATTACTCCATACAAATAAATATGCAGTTAGCAGAACTGCATTACAGGTCACAATTCTACCACCTACCTTTACATTGGGTTCATAGCCCTCTAATCAACCTAACCAACCATCCATCAAAAGTAACTCCCATTTCCGCCCTCTTCCATTCCTCCTGGCAATTTTGAAGCAACCATGGTCATCAGAGTCCCTGGATGTGTACGCCTAGCTCAGGTGATCTACAGAGCATCAGACACACAGAGTCGACTATGGAGCACACAGAGTTCTGTTCTCATGACACTACAAAAAGCGATGCCTACGCAGGCTCCAATATCAGAATCATGGGGCAGGCACACGCTTAGGGCTAGTCTACACTGGCAACGCTAAAGCACTGCCGCGGCAGAGCTTTAATGTGTCTTGTGTGTCCGTGGCAGAGTGCTGGGAGAGAGCTCTCCCAGCGCTCTAAAAAAAACCCCACCTCTACGAGGGGCGTAGCTCCCAGCGCTGGTGCACTGTCTACACTGCCACTTAACAGCGCTGAAACTTGCTGCGCTCAGGGTGGGGGTGTGTGTGTCACCCCCCTGAGCGAGAAAGTTGAAGCGCTGTAAATTGCCAGTGTAGACAAGACCCTAGTTTCTGGTGGCTTTTTTAAATTGTATTTTTGAAAGATGTCACAGGAAAAACCTACTTTATTCAAATTTTAAACAAGATAGCCCCATGTTCTGTTGCAGGATTTGTAAAACAGTTAAACTACAGGAGAGGAAAGCAAGGGGCGGTGAGAAGCAAACGGCCAATGCAATGAAGAGTAATGGGAGAGAGAGTGCAATGACGGGACATCAGAGCAATCTATTTGGACACTTCAGGCCCATTACTTAGAAATGTCAGAAGTCTAGGGACTCTCAGATGTTAAGGAAGTGACTTCAGAGCAAAGTGATGTAGCCCTGTAGTTACACTGACTGAGCATCAACTTGTTAGAGAAATACTTTACATTTTTGTAGTGCCTGCTTGCAGAGGACCTCAGAACGCTGAAACATCTAACTAATCTAGTCTCAACATCTCTGTGGAGGTAAAGTGTTACTCCCACTATAGATGGGAACACAGACACAGAAAAGTGAAGTAACTTGCCCAAGGTCATACAGGAAGCAGAACAGGGAGTAGTTACCAGAATTCCCCGACCCTGTGCTCGGATTTATGGTGATTTATGCTACATAGCATTTTGAAACAAATGAAGCACATGTCATTCTCTTCCATGGATAATGCGGTGATAGTGACAATACAGCAACAAGACAAATTTGTCTAGAACAAGCAGGTTAATTTTTAAAAGATCACTGCACTTTAAAGGACAGAGTCAACAGCTGAAATTTTTCTCTCTTTTTAAAAGCAATCTGCAAGTATGGGACAAACGCTCAACTATCCAACTAGTTTCACCTATCAGGCTAAACAAGATCTGCATCAGCCAACCTTTCAGTAACGTTCTCAGGCTGGACATGTGTTTTAATAGAGGCAAGCAGCTTATCAGTTAACCAAAATCTTCCCTCTGCTTAGATTCCAGAGGGCCTAAAACAAATGCTGTGCTTCTCAAGTCTAGCTTTACCCTTTAATGTTTGCACTCCCACTCCCCCAACCCATGCACCCAGATCCAAGCGCCATCTGTGGAGCTGAAATGGATGTACACAGCTGGACCGGGATGGAAATGAAACAAGACGATGTGTCTGTGGAAGTCGCCCATCCCAGAGAAGTATCCACCACGCACAAAGTGGCCAGAGCAGCGAACAAATAATCCAAGTCATCACACATGGTTGGTCAGGTTGCTTTCTCCTACCGCCACACCTTGCTAAGTTTTGGGGCAAAGGGTTTGATTTTGGACAGCTCCT